GATCCACATAGAAGGCAAAGAAGTAAAGGGCAGGGATGGGGAATGAGATCCATAAAGCATTCTCACATTCCTCCTCTCTCTCCGACTCAGAAGCAGGGTGAATTCCCAACTGTGAACAACACAACAAGGCACTGACCCTTCATCCTTAATCACATGCTTACAAACGACCCACTTTACACAGTGTAGACCCAGTGAAATCCTCAGGTATTGATTGCTAAATTTAAATTAATGCCAGAATCTTCCCATTAAGCCAAATTACTTTACAAAAACACTTAAATGGAAAAGACAGCTAAGGAAAATAAGGTTTCATGACAAAATTAAGTATTTTCAAAACGTTTCATCAACAAACATGCAAACATGTACTCTTATCCTTTTTTGTCCTTCCAAAAGTTTATACTATATGCTCTTTCCAGAGGATACAAGAGAAGTAAAATGTTAATTTTTCTTAAAGGACGTAATAATAGTAAACAGGCTTGGAAACTCAAAATGTTGTAATACACATATGACATAGAATAGATTTAATACTCAAACTGCAGGTGATTACTATGACATTTTAGTTAAAGTTAAAATTAGCATTCCAAATCACCAACCTCCCCCCACCCTACTTGCCACCCGCCCCCGCCATGGGATTTCAGACACTCAGCAATTTTTATACTTTCCACTCACAAACCATTAGAGATCTTTCAGAACAGTCTTTCTGTTCAAGGTCCAATCTAGCCACGGGCTGGCAGCTGTGGCCTGCACACTTTGCCAAACCTGACCCACCCAAGTCCCTGAGGAACAGCTACCGTGCTAGCCACAAAGACAGAATGACTGCAGCTGACCTCAAGACAAGCTCCTCAGAGAAACAAGGAAGAGGCAACCAGTAAATGGTGAACAACGGAAGTGCGGCACCACATTATCAATCACTGTCTTCTGTGATTTGTAAAGCAATGGAAGCTCTCCGACTGCCTAAGAATGAAAAGAGCTGTCTGTATGGAGGCCGTCCTCCCCACTATTATGTGTCAAAACATATGCAATGAGACGTCCCTTTCATAAGCAGCTACACCACCCTTAGACAGACAGCTCAGAGATTTAAGATAAGATGCTGGTACAGTCATGTTTCTATTCCAAGAAAACAAGAAAAGTAGGGCTGAGCTGAACCTAAGACAACACACAAATTTATAGGTAATTGCAGCATTACTCAGCTCTTAATTTGATTCAGTCAGAAGCCTGAATCTATGGCAGAATCTCTTATTTTAAAAATATTAAACTTGGGAACACTTCCATATTAAAAGTCTGAGTCAGCCTCACAACCAGGGGTCCCCAACCCTCAAGCCACCTGGTCAGTGGCTTGTTAGGAACTGGGGTGCACAGCAGGAGATGAGCAGCAGGTGAGCTGCAGGCCAGTGAGCGAAGCTTCGTCTGTATTTGCAGCCGCTCCCCAGCGCTAGCATCATTGCCTCAGCTCCACCTCAGATCGTCAGGCGTTAGATTCTCATAGGAGCACCGGTCTCTGGTGCCAAAAAAGGTTGGAGACCACTGCTCTTAACTACTTTTTAAAGCCAAATGCTTCAGCCCTTTATTTGAATTCCAGAAGACTTGCTTTTACCCATCAGAAAGAGTCTGGGGGGAGGGGGGTGGCGGGGAGGATAATGAACAACCCTAGAGGAAATAAACAGGGATCTGGGGGTACTCTCACCAAATACGTAGTTAGATATGGAGGTGGGAGCATGACCCAGGGATTCCATAATGGTCAGAGCATCTTCCATTGATGGAATAGCTCCTTTTGGACCTGAAATAAATTCCGCAGACGTACAAAGAGTGCCTCCCATGACAAGATGCACGAAAAAGTTACAGAACTCCTTGCACCAATGTAATTCAGAATGGAAACTAGGCTTTTTGTAAAAAGCCAGGTTTTTATATTGGGTCTATTTCTCTTTATCTTATCCCCCAAAGAGGATAAAAACGTGTGCCGCTCCCCAGCGCTAGCATCATTGCCTCAGCTCCACCTCAGATCGTCAGGCGTTAGATTCTCATAGGAGCACCGGTCTCTGGTGCCAAAAAAGGTTGGAGACCACTGCTCTTAACTACTTTTTAAAGCCAAATGCTTCAGCCCTTTATTTGAATTCCAGAAGACTTGCTTTTACCCATCAGAAAGAGTCTGGGGGGAGGGGGGTGGCGGGGAGGATAATGAACAACCCTAGAGGAAATAAACAGGGATCTGGGGGTACTCTCACCAAATACGTAGTTAGATATGGAGGTGGGAGCATGACCCAGGTATGCCATAATGGTCAGAGCATCTTCCATTGATGGAATAGCTCCTTTTGGACCTGAAATAAATTCCGCAGACGTACAAAGAGTGCCTCCCATGACAAGATGCACGAAAAAGTTACAGAACTCCTTGCACCAATGTAATTCAGAATGGAAACTAGGCTTTTTGTAAAAAGCCAGGTTTTTATATTGGGTCTATTTCTCTTTATCTTATCCCCCAAAGAGGATAAAAACGTGTCTTAATAATATCAAATTATTTTGGTTTGCTTGAAAGTCACGTGGTTTTATCCTAACTCTATACCTTACTTTTATTGAGAACCCCAGGAGAATAGACTGGCAGGTACACATAAAAGTGACTTATCCCATGTATTTTGAGTTTGTCATAAGAAAATGAAAATCAACTTTCTATTAGTATAAACTATAATAAATCTAAGTCAATTTCCTCCAAAACAAAGTACTTTTTAATACCTGATGATCAATTCACTATTCCTAGCCTACTGATTAAGTAGATATTTTAACATAGCAAATGACACTGTATAAGTTCATAATCTTTTTTGGAGTCAGTAAGAATAAAACTACATAATTTCAACAAATCTGTCTATTTTTGTCTCTCCAAAACCTTTAAAATTTTAAAGTTGGGAGGAACATTAGACAATATGTAATCTACCCCCTCATTTCACAAATAAGGAGACTTTTCTAGCTTTCATTATCAGAGCAGAGGCTACCTCTCCTTTACTATCATTTCTTGTCTTTATTCTCTTGTAAAGCAGGGGATGATAGCACGCAGGCCCGGGTTCTGACATCCTCTCCCCTGGCTACCTGTGAGCATTTCTGCAGTACCTACAAGTTCACTACTGACACAGACATAACCTATGTGTACTCAGAAATCCAGACCAGCGGTGGGATTTATCTACATGTAACTTACTGTCTCTGCTATCTCCCTCTTCAATGGCTTTCTGTAATGCTTCTCAAACCTAAAACTAACAAGACAAGAAAAAAAACCTAGAATGCAAGATTATTCTAGTGTCCAAAACTAGAGAATCTACAATCATTCACAAACAGGCCTTGACGGAGCTTTTACAGTCTGCTCTTAATTAGAGATGACTCATTTAGCACTTTTTCTCCCTCTGTGACAATATGACTACTCCATCAGTGGCCAGATAGGAGTATAAAAGAGGCATAGAACTAAACCAATCCTAAAATCACAACTGCCTGAAAATTTCTAAATAAGACATGCCAGGAACACAAGTTCAAGTAGAACAATTTGAGCTTTTGAAACATCGATGGCTCCTGCCACTTAACCTCCTTTAACAAACCAGATTAAACAGTGGTGACACAAACTGCAAATTTAAATCGCATAAATTTCAATTATAGGAACCTAACTAGGCCCCACACTTTAACAGACCTCTGCTCTGGCCATCCTCCAGCCACACCCCTCGCCTTCATGTAAGGAGTTCTCAGGGCCTAAAGGCTGTGTATCCCCATTTACACTCAGGCCCAAACCCACTTCCAGGACAAAAACAGGCATCTTCTCCAAGTCTGCCTTCCCAAAGACTGACCACATCACAGGTGGCACCCCATGGATTTGACAGGTGGCTAAGGGGTGGGTACTTCCACAGAGTTTGGACATGCGAGATAAGATGCCCACATAGGTGCATGCAGGGGCCCTCGCTGAATGGGGGTAGGCAGCAAACAGGGCACAGGAGCCAGAACTGGGAAGGGAAGAAGGACAGGCCAGGGGCAGACCCTCTCTATGCAGCCCATTTCAGCACAGGGCTCCAAGGAGTCTGAGAATTCTACATTTGAACCCAAGTACATGGAGGTATGTTTGGCAAGGAATATATTTTATTTGTCATGAATATATTTTACTTAACAGTTTGCTAGTGTGATTTATAACTTCTTGATATTTAATAGAAGGTATGTGTGCCTCCGTTTGTACTTTTGACCTAGGCCCCACACTTGTCAGGAGCCAGCCTAACAGGGATCTAGCTTGGGGAAATTCAATACTGTGTACTCAGGGAAGAGAAAGCAAGCAGCAGAATTTTCCAGATGCTGTGTCCTTCCCTCATCACACCCGTCAGTGAGAGCAAACCTCGGTGTGAGCAGGAGCCGGGAGACGGGAAACCTGCTGGGTGCCCAGGCACCTCTCTGGCCGCACACCCTGCTGCACTGGGTGTGAGTCTCATGTCTAAAAACCCATGTTGCCCACATTAGGGGCCCGGAATATAACTGAGCACCCTCAACTGGTCCGCCAATTACGAAACAGTCATTCTTTTTAATGTGGAGAGAACACTGAATATGCTGGACTTCTTGAGAGGTGGTTTATCTGTCTCTAACATAGCATAGTTCTGAGAGATTTTCGTGCTTAATTTTTATGATTACTGAATGTGCTTTTCATCTTATGAGCAAACTCTGGAACCTAACGCCTATATAAATTGTGTTTCTACTGTATGACGGAACTGCTCCCGCAACTAAGTTACTACCCCAGAGCCGACTCTCAATTCTACAGTCCAAGTCCCAAGGTGAACACAGGTACCATGTTCTGTCACAGGAATGGAATATGACTCAGGGGAACAATGTGACTTGTCAGAAATACTTTTTATCTAACCCAATGGGTAAGACCTGAACTTAAGATACAAATGTGACTCCTTGGCTTCTAGAGGGCACGGGAAAAAATGACTAAACTGACCTTGAGAATAGGTCTGAAGGTTATCATAACAACAGTAATACCTATGAAGTACATGACTCAATTTGTATTCTCACTAAACCTGTCATTTAACATAATGAAATACGTTAACTGAAATATATGTACTCCACTTCCTCATCTACAAGCAAAATTTCATTCCTATGGTCTACCTTCCACCTTGAAAATCTGTAATTCTATGGCTACCCTATTTATGGCGTCCTGGAAAAGTTGGGTCAGGAATCTTAGAACATTGCTCTTGCGGCTTTGCACAATCTCACCTTATTCAGTCACCTGCCATTTACTATATGTCAGAGTGAACCTCCCTTCACAGGGGGGGAACCCATTAAAATGAGTCATGAACATCAGGAAGGGTAGAAAGACGCAGCGACAAAGAGCCTTGTTACCTACCAAGTCCTATCACTTGCAAAAAAGTAAAGTGAGAAATTCTGACCAAAAAAAAAGCATTTTTGGACAAATTTGCAGATTAGCCCATGCAATAGATCGAAAGTAGATAGCATATTTGTTTAGGAAAGATTAACTGAAACTGGTGGAAAACCCATAAATCCTTTTAAGCAATAAATCAAGGGCATTCAGTGACACGGACCGGTGGGTGTCTACCTGGGTCCGGCTGCTCCCTGCAGCCCAGTAACGAGGGCCATCCCTTTCATCTGAAGTGTGATTTTAAGACTGGCGGAAAGGGTTGTTAACCAAAAGCAAATTTTGTTTATTTAAATGTGAAACACATTTTTGCCTATCCTCAATTCTGTTTTACTACTCTGCTTTTTAGTTAGAATATATGATTTCAGTTTCAGAGCACATCTAAAAAATTAAATGTGACATTAAGTTTATTATAAAGTTACTAAACTTACCGGGGAAGGAATGAAGGCTTCGTGAAACTTCTTAGGATTAATTCTCAATACGCCCTAAAAATAAAAAATGCAATCTATGAAAATTTAGTTACATACACTTATGATTTTTCCATGCTTATGTTATTCTCCAATAAAAACGTTTTTCAAGTAATTAAACAGTTCAATTTAGGAAACCAATTAGATGAGAACTATTCATGAAACGCATGAACCGTGATTTACACTGATACCTGTAACACAGCGTTCCACCAAAACCCGAAAGCTCACACTGGCACCTGGCTGTGAACAGACAGAGGTGAGAAGCAACAGAGCCCGGAGTGGAAAAGTGGCAACAGCCGGGATTCCGTGTGCCCCGGCGAGCTGTCTTCAAATTTAACCTTCACTCTGAGAACAAGGCGATCAGGGGATCACGCCTCAGTACATAATGGCCTTTTTAATTCTCTAAGACCTTCCCACCGTGCTTGTTTCTGTGACAACTTTCTAAGTGATGCAGGTCGATTTCCAACCTAGATACTGAGCCTCGAGGGACTGGATGCATATTTTTTACTCTGGCCCCTCTGCAGAGCTGAATGTGTCAATAATTCAAAATGGTCCAGAACCGC